TCCTGCAAAACAGCTCGAGCTCAGTGAGATTGGAAGGAGAGTGTTTGTGAACAGCAGTTTGCAGTTCTTTACATGGATTCTTTATTGGATTCAGGTCTGGACTTTGACTCGGCCTTTCTAACTTCTGGATATGTTTATTTGTGGAAAATTCCATTGTAGATTTTGCTTTATGTTTTGGATCAGTCATTGTCTTGTTGAAAAATTAGTCTTTGTCCAAGTCTCTGGTCTTTTGCGGAGTCCCTCAGAATTGTCCTGTATTTGTCTCCTTCCATCCTCCCATTAATTTTAACCATCTTCCCCATCCACGATAAAGAAAAGCAGGTGATGATGATGGTGATCACCATGATGCTGCCGTCACCATGTTTGACAGTGGGGATGGTGTGTTCGTGGTGATGAGCTGTGTTGCTTTTACGGCAAACATGATGCTTTGCATTGTTGCCATATAGTTTGCTTTTGGTTTCATCTGATAACATCACCTACTTCCACATGTTTGCTGTGTCTCCCAGATGGCTTGCGGCAAACTTTAAACAAGACTTTTTTTTGGAAATCTTTATGTAAAATCTTTCTTCCATAAAGGCCAGATTTGTGTAGAATATGACCAATTGTTGTCCTGTGGACAGAATCTCCCACCTCAGCTGTGATCAGTGGTCTCTTGGCTGCATCTCTGTTCAGTCTTCTCCTTGTTTGAGTGGAAACATTAGAGGGACAACTTAGAAGGACGTCGGGGTCTTTGTAGATTTGCAGTGGTCTGATATTTATTCATTGCACAGTGCTCCTTGGGATGTTTAAAGCTTGGGAAATCTTTTTGTATCCAAATCCAGCTTTATATTTCTCCACAACAGTACCTGGGACATGCCTGGTGTGTTCCTTGTTTATGATGCTCTCTGTGCTTTAAACAGACCTCTGAAACTATTACAGAGCAGGTGCTTTATATGGAGACACACAGGCAGATTCTATTTATCTTTAGTCATTTAGGTCAACATTGGATCATTCAGAGATCCTCTTTGAACTTCTAGAGAGCGTTTACTGCATTCAAAGTAAAGTGGCAAGTTAATTTTGAATGCCACGTTATTTTTTTGTTTTGTTTGAAGTTTACATTTAAAATATCCAACAAAATTTGTTCTATTGCCTGACATGTGGTCAAAGTTTAAAAAGTGTATATATATATATATATATATATATATATATATATATATATATATATATATATATATATATATATACATGTATGGCAGTTGGGTAAAGAAATCAAAAGCTTACTTTGACTGTCCAGAATATAGAATATCTTGAGTGTTCAGTCGGGCTAACAATTCCCCCTAACGACCCCGCTTTCAGAGGCATATACCAATATTAGGTAACAAAGGACCAAAACGACCCTCATTCCTAAGTGGTGGACCCATTCGTCTAGTTAAATTTGCATGTTTTCTAAGCCAAAACAGGGCTTTGTTTTGTTCCGCCTTGAGCACAACGCTAATTCTGACATGAAAAATTCGGAATAGAACACGTTTCCTGTATGGGAAGTGAAACGTCTTCAAACTTGGAAACAAAGTCAAGTGGATTGTTTATTTTTTAACTTTTTTGGAAGTCTCCCATTATTTGTAAGATCACAAATTTAGAGAACCAATCTTGTAGTACTCCAGCTTAAACAGAGACTGCCCAAAATTGGTCTGCTAATCAGGTTTTGGTATTATTATTTAAGGCTGGACATATAGCAAAAATATATGTGGCAGTATAAGAGAACTTACACAAACTGATGCTATTACATCTTTATTTAAAATTTTATCTTTGAAAGAGGAACAGCAAGAGCGCTACAAAGTTTTTCTCATGACATCTGCAGCTTTTTCATTTGTTACAGAGATTGGCTGAAACCAAACTTGGGAAGGCGGGCACTTGGCTCTGCTGAATGTCCCTCCTTTCCTCTAACAGATTTAATTGGAGCAGTCCTAGAATAACAATGTGTAGAAAAAGTGTTACAAATTAACAATTTTGCTTGCCAGGTAAGGAGTCAGCAAAATTTAATCTGTGCAGAAGCAACCAGAAAATACTCCATGGGGATACTGTTTGTCTCACTCCTTCCAAAATGATGTTGGGTCCAAAAGGGCCTGGAGGTATCACTACTCCTACCAGCTGCGTCACACTCTTCACTAAGGTGAAAATGAGGAGTTTTATGAAGAAAGCACTTGAAACTCTACAGAATGGGTCTAATTATGGCGTTACTGTAGGGTACTGGTTGAGCATTCTCCCAGACAATAAGAAATAATAGAAGGGTAGAAGTTGAAAATGAAACCGCAGACATACTTTTGCAGTTACACCCTGTAATATACAAGTGTCTATGGCTCTTCTTTTCTTCCTCCTCTCTCATTCTCCATTTTGCCATCGGTTTAAGGTGCCAGTCATTTATAAACTTAAGCTCTAAAGCCCTGTTCAGCTTGTTTTGCTTCCTGCTCTGACTGAAATACATCCTTTCTCTCTGCCATTACATTAGTGTGATTTTTTCCCCCCTTAAACAATGTCTTAAATGCAGTGGTTGCCCTTTGCACTTAGTCCTTTTCTTAGTTCAGTTCTGGTAGATTCCAACAGGAAATGACTCATATGTAAATTGTATATTCTAAATGAGTGGTAGGGTTTTGAATGTTTGAGTATTTTTAAAGACAGTCAAGTATGCTGTTGTAGACATCAAAATTTACTGTGTTTCCTATTCAGTATTTTCTTTCAGTGTTTTTATTTTAATAAAAAAAAAATGTATTCTTTTAATTAAGTTGTTCCAGAGGGAATTAAAGAACCTGTTTTATTCATGTGTTTATATTTGGAGTAAGGTCGTCCTCAATTATTTAAACTCCTGCTGCTTGTCAGGGGTTCTGATTAGTAATAGTACTACAAGGAAAAAATCTCAGAAAATGTCAATTGAGTGCTGGCTCTGAAGATTGATCCCAGTGGTTCTGTTTGGATGATTCAGATCACTGAGCGACTGATCCAAATCCCGATGGTGCTGGACAGGCCAAAGGCTAATGGGAGTCATGCACAGGGAAACGGTTAACTGGGTAGAGGTTCCCAGAGGGTTAGATGAGAGGGAAATCCAGAGTCCAAGGAGAGAGGATCTGCAACAGAAGGTAGACTAACTGGGCAGAAGTTTTCAGATGACAGGCTGATCGGTCCTTGCTTGGGTAATAGATGACAGACAGGAAAACTCACCCAAGCATTCTCCTCAGTGTCCTCATGTCTGATGTCTGGCAGAATGAGTGAAGAATGAGGGGAAAAAGCAAGTAGTCATAATTAGAAATGCAGCCGGAACTTCACTATTTCTGAACACTAAGCTTTATCAGTTACCGCTGGTAGGAAAATCAGCATCTAAAGGTCAAAGTTTACAAATACACACAAGTTGTGGCATGCAAGGTTTAAAATTTAACTGTGTGCATTAAAAAACTCATTAAAACATGTTGTATTTTTTTAAAAGCTATATAGAGAAAATTAATACGAGATGTCTTTGCTATGTCTGTGCTATTATTAATAAGTCACTCTACAGGGGATTTGTTGAAATTTTGTGGAATATTTTGGGAATCAGCTTAAAATTGGGAGCAGTTAAAACAAGCTTTATCATATCTTAAACTAAGAACTAAGATGTTTGGACTTTGCAGTCCTGAGTGCCAGGAAATAATTTTATGGGTTCTGGCTTAAACATTTCTGCAGTAAGCTTTATACTATTTGTAGGTGAGTGAAGAGTAGTATATATTTACTTATTTGTTTAATAAGTTTCTGATTGGAAATATTCTTGTCTTCTTAATGTCCATTTACATTTCTCTGAATAAATTTTATCTTGTAAGGATCAACATTCAATACTCATAATTCTTGTTTTTCCCTATAAGTTATTATCCATTCCCATAGAAAAAATTCTGCTTTTTAATTTCTCAGAATTTGTAACTTTAACTTTATATAACTAAATGCTATCAAACAGCAACAAAAACAACAGTTTCTGTTTAAAATGCAGTAATTTAAAATAGTTTGCAACATTACACAATTTGTAGAGGAAGGGATATTTCTTTTTCTTCTCTTAAACCAGCAACAAACACATTAAAGTTTTAGATTTGATCCTTTCAGATGTTGTTTCCTACAGTAGTTGTTTGTCCTTTTTCACTGGTTCAATCGATCCACTAAATATATATTTAATTGCTGCACAGACTCTTGTAACAAACCAGGGAGGAGGCTCACATTCCAACACTGCAGAGACTTGCAAGAAGTGATACCCACTAAGTTCCTGTCAAAGATAAATGAAATGAGTGGTAAAGAATGCCCCTGCCAGCCCTCCGATCATTCAATCTTATAACCTGCTCTGCTCCTGTGAAATGTTAAAACATGCTGTGACCTGAAAGAAATATCCTCTGATATTTGTGGGAAAAAGAAATTCCGCACCAACACGGCTGCAGATGTACAATAAGGTTGATGTATGTACAGCATACAAACCATGGCATCAGCTTGGTTCACTATGTTTCCAATTCAAGCTAACAATAAAAACAGGTGATTTGATTTTTGCATGAAAAGTTTTTTGCCTTTCAGCTGTGACTCCTGCTCTGCGAGGTTCCTGATCCGTGGAAGTGGCCAATGAAATTGAGCCTTTTACTCACTTTGCTGTAAGAGTGTTTGTAAATGAACTGCTGTTGCCTCATTAGAGCTGGTCTGCCTTATCACCCAGTAAACTGTTGAGATAAACAAAAGAGTGGGCCGTTATTGCTGAAACTAAGCGGCTGCTTCCGCTGGGGTTTAATTATTCTGTGTTGAAGTGAATTAGAATTAATGAAACATTTTGTAATACTTTAGGACATGAGCTACAGATCTAATTGTCCTACTTTCACCTCTGCAGGTTTTATAATATGTGCTACTGCTGTATGCATTTTTTACGTTATTTTCATTGCAGTCATTGCTGGATATGGAGTCGTTTAGTGGGAATTTTTTCTCTTTAAAAATGGCACTGACCTTGTTTCTGATTTCTTTTTCCACCTTGTCAGCTGAAGATGGATTCACGTGCAAGACCCCTGCCATAGCCGACATCGTGATTCTGGTGGACGGCTCCTGGAGTATCGGTCGCATTAACTTCAGGCTGGTTCGAGCCTTTCTGGAACAGCTTGTTAATGCTTTCTCTGTGGAATTTGACAAGACAAGGATTGGTAAGGAATTTAATTTTGTATTTTCTTTTACATTAGTTTGAACAACATCTGAATTGTAATTCTCCATGCAGGACTGGCTCAGTACAGTGGAGACCCCAGGATTGAGTGGCATCTGAATGCTCACACTACCAAGGAGGCTGTAATAGAGGCTGTGAAAAACCTGCCCTATAAAGGAGGAAACACACTGACAGGTATGCTGCCAAGCAGATTCCCGCCCTACTTTCCGGTTATTATAGTCTTCCAAACACAGATGAGCAAACAGATGACACTCAGAGGTGGAACTGGAATTAAGCCAGTTTGCTACCTTTGTTTATTAAATTCACTCCAGTTGGTTTTAGGGTGGTATTATTAGACTCAATAACAAGCTTTGCTGATTGGATGAGACTAAATCCGAATGTAAGGATGACAAAAAATACATTCCATGCCAAAAAAATATCAGAAGGTATATACAAACATAAATAAGTTCTAAATTTTAAAAAGATTGCCTATATATTACCTTCAATTTAAATTAGTGGCACGTCATTGTGATGTTGTCCTCATAGTATACTACACCCTATGTTGTAATTTCTTACTCATTTCTCTTAGAAAGTTGCAAAAATATTTAGATTAATCCTGGATCAGATTGTCTGCACCCTCAACACCAAGTCAAATTCCTTCTAAGTGCAAACCTGCTGTACATGGCATTAAACTTTATTCTGATCCTGGGGTTCTGTGAGTACAGAAAGCATGGATGCCATCGTTGGCTACAGCTGTTCATTAAAGGGTCGTAAATCATGAAACAAAAACCACATTTCCTATCAGTTCAAATCTAATCTCTGACAGTGGTTCATGTCTACGTTCTTACATGATTTAGCTTCCCTTAGGGCACCTTTAAAGGAAGCTGGGTGTTTCGTTAAACCATCAAGAAAAAGCTTAATGTGGGTTAAAAACAATTGATTGGCACCAGATTTCCAGAATTTTATCTCTAGATGTCCCATTGTCTAGAATACAGTTTAATCAATCTGGTGCTTTTTAGAAAAAAAGAAGAAAAAAAAACTCAAAATGTGTAATTTTTCTTTCTATTTGCTTTTTTTCATTTTGTTGACTTTTAAGGTTGTTGACAGATTTACATTAAGCTTTAAAAACATTAGGGTTGCACAAAATCAGCACCAATTTCAACTTTTGGCACTGGGAAATATTCTGGTTCAATTTTGCAATTCAGATATGAATAAAAAAAAAAACAATTTTGTGTTTATTCTATTGATTTCCATAATTACATTGTTATGAAAAATTCAACTGTTCTTGAGCTGTAGGACCATGTTTGTTAAGATCTAAAGGACAGTGAAAGTCACTATGAGGGACTACATTTTGTAAAGTATGGCACTTCTACTTATTGTTGTACAAACTGCATTACTGATAATTCTTATTCTGTTTTTTTAAAGAAATCAATATTTATGTTATTTCATTTTGGGAAAAAAATATCATTCCATAGTCTGGTTTCCCAAAGGCAAACTAAAAATCTGACAGTATCATTTTCTCAACACTAATTCATATTCCTTAGTATTCTTGAAAACCTTATTTTTTGTTGGCTAGAATTGTTCAAAATATACTGTTTAAATATATTGTAAATATGTTTAAACATTATGTTATGTTTAAATATATTGTTTTGATTATTTGTTAAGAAAATTTTTCTTAACCTATTTTGGTTCCACAATATTTTAATTAATCAATCTAATTCTACAAAGGAATATCAGGGCTATTCAAAGAGTAATAATATTTTTTTATTTTTTATGAAAATAAAGTTATAATATTAGAAGATTAAATAAATAATATTTGATATATGGGGTTAGAGACATAACTTAAGAGAATAAAGATGTAAAGTTAGAAAAATAACAAAGTCTATAGGATAAAATCATCACATTACGAGAATAAATGTCATAATAATTCAAGATTAAAGCAGGAGCCTTAGAATGATCACTCTGTGCCTCTGAGTTCAAAGGCTCAGCTCAGGCTACAGTTTGGTTGAGTTTAATTTAAGTTATCCTAAACATCTTTTTTTTCTCATGAAATTATAAATATACTCTCTTATTAAGATTTCACTTTAATAAAATATTGACTTCATTCATGTAGTTTTACACTTAACTATTGTGATGAAGGAAAAAAAAAAAAGTCTTACTCCTAATCCACGGTTGTATCATCCAAATTCCTCTTTTAATTTGACAAGTTTTTCATTAAACTCACACAAAAATGCTTTCAAACAACAAGATATAATCTCAGAAATATATTGACACTGAGAAAAAAACATTTATAACTATATTTTCTATCTACAGTCAACAGCACTTAATGGTTTATTAGGTTATTACACAATTTGTGTGAGCAGATTTGTTTTATTTATTTATTAGCTCTGTTTTCCTAACACGCAACCTTTTACACTTTCTATGTATTTGGAGGCATTTTTCTTATTGTTAGCTATTATTTTCCTATTTGTTTTAAATAGATGTTCCTGAAGAGCACCTGACCTAGTTAAAGCAGCTTAAACTTACAAAGTTGTGTCACTTCCTGTTGATATGACATAGACACCTTTTCTTAAAACCTGTCTAGTTTTCTTGCATTGTGGTTAAAATTTCGACTTTAATGTCCATAACTGTTTGGTGGAAGACCTTTGCAATTAGTTTCTATGTTTTGATAATTTTGTGTTTTACTTTAGTTCGTATTAGGTTTTTCTTGAACTTTGTACATACCTGTGGTTTATTTAAGGAAGTTTTGTCTTCTGTATTTAATAAGAGATTAAAAAATGTCCTCCATTTAATGTTATTAAGCTGTAATTCACACCAGATTGGAATACTTTAAATTTGTTCGTTGTGTCCTTTGTCTTTTATTGTAAATGTGTACATTTCTAGAAAAAGGGCACAAAAGTGTTTAATGTCAAGTTGGGTCTTCCCCCTATAAGGCCCATTAATGTGAAGCTAATATTCAGTTTTATCTGCTCTGTTCTGCTGTTGTATATTCTTTTCACTGACAAGCTGCTTTTCTCAACAATTTAGGTCTGGCTCTTACCTTTATCTTGGAAAACAGTTTTAAAGCAGAATCAGGCTCCCGGCCTGGTGTTCCAAAAATAGGAATCCTGATCACTGATGGGAAATCCCAAGACGACGTTATTCCTCCTGCGCAAAGCCTGAAGGATGCTGGGATAGAACTGTTTGCTATCGGTATGTCAATTTCTGTATCTGATCATCACAATATGTTACCATGGTTCATACAACTTTAGTTAAAGGTTGTTTTCAAAAGGTAATTTCACTCTGTTCTGCTATTGGATGAACACAAAAATATAGATGAATATAAAATATTAATAGAGGTTTAATGATAAAATATAGGAATAGAAATAGCAAACCTGTTTTATATGCTTGTCAGTCTGGTTTAAAGAGGAAAACTACACAACATTTTAATAAAGATTTTACATTATAGAGTTATCTCTCTTTTATTTCTTAAATTACAAGTTTGCAATTCAAGTATTGAAATGAAGACTTTAACACGTTTAGGAACTTAGGGATAGAATTTTTTATGTTATGGCATAAGAGTCTCTGATGGCAGCAAAATCTTATTTTATTTTGTTCTTTGTATTTTATGCTTTTACTGTATTTGTTTAATTTATCCGAGTCTGTACTGTATATGGGTTGGCTGTTGTTCACTGTAGAGCACTTTGAACTTAGGGACATTTTTAAGTGTTTTATAAATAAAGTTGGATTTTAATAGATGACAACAAATTAATGCTTCAATGCAACCTGCAGGAAAGTCTAGCTTTAGCCAAATTTACTCATGTACTGATGTTTCAGGCGGCCATTATAAGATAGGATCATAGAAAAATGTTTAAAGTTTTAAAAAAGCAAGTTCTTAAGAAAAAAATAAATAAGTAAAATTTGCACATAATAAATGTTAAACAATATGATATATTTTGTTTGACTTAATGAAATAAAATAAACTGAAACAAAAAGGTGAAAAAAAGCTATAACAAATAAGGACTTTTTAAAGAATTTCGTAAGTGTAATAAAAAGATATATGATCATATTTATCCTCCACCCTCCTTTCAGAAAGATGGGAGGGCAGAGTTTTGCCTTAAGCAAAGGTGATACTCAGAAACATTCCCACGCGGAGCATTTTTCTTAGTATGACAAACTGTTTTTTAAAATGAAATGCTGCCTCTTTTCGTTGCATCATCAGAGACCCATCCTCAGCACCTTTCATGTATTTTCTGCCTGAGTCTAAATTTTCCACTCCATCTCTGCCGCTCCTCTCCTTGCAGGTGTGAAAAACGCAGATGAAAACGAGCTGAAGGCCATTGCCTCCCCTCCCGAGGAGACTCATGTTTACAACGTGGCAGACTTCAGCGTGATGAGTGACATCGTGGAAGGTCTCACCACGACGGTCTGTGACCGCGTGGATCAGCTCGACAAAAAAATAAAAGGTTCACCTCATGCAATGAAAACTGTTTCCCCTTCAGTTAGAAATCAGCAGCATTTGTTTGGTGTCATTTTTGTTCATATTTTACGCAGCGTAAACACTGCATGCAGCATTTTCAGGCTGATCTTTGTATTCTGCAGGGGAAGGAGGCAAAGCTCCACCAGTTGCCGCCGTTGCGCCCCCTCGTGATCTTGTGACATCAGAGATAACGGCTCGCAGTTTTCGAGTGACATGGACTCATGCACCTGGTCAAGTGGAGAAATATCGAGTGGTTTACTATCCAGCCAGTGGAGGTCTGCCAGAAGAAAAGGTGGATTCTACTGCACCTCCTTATTTAGACTGAACATATATTTATTTCAATTTTTAGATAATTACAGCAATTTCAGTAATATTATTTACACTAGACTGTATCAGTATTATCCTGATTTCCCCTAATTAATAATATAATTAAAGCTTTTTGATTAATTGCCAAAGCATCCTCCTAAACTTGTCTTCTCAAATTGGCTAGAATTTATGTTTATGTTAATGATTCAGAATAATAAGGTGTTGGCTGTTATGAGCATCTAATCCAATTTATGTTTCTGTTTTGAAACTGGCTCCAAAACTCCAAAGAGAAAAACAATATGATCAACATCAGCAAGAAAAGTAAAATCTTTTTAAGTGCTCTACAAAGCGATGCTTCAGGGGTTTCTCTAAATTTTGTTGCTATAGTGCATAAACTCCAATATGTTCCCACATTCAGTAAATAGTAATACCAGATCAGGACTATTGCCAAGAACTCTTCTTTCCTGTGGCAATGCTTCTAGAAAGTTCTTATTTCAGGGAGAAAGTGATTGTTACTCTACTGCAGTAAACGCTAATGATTCATGAAATGCATACTTTGTTGCCTGAAGTTACCGGAGTTCACAAAAACAAATACAATGACTTAAGAGATTCTTTTTCTAATAAAAAAAGCTTTAGTCTGTTGTTGACCCACTTTTAGCACATGAAGCAACGTCTACGGCTACTTTCAAGGTGTAGAAATCTGTTTAAGGGCATATTAATTTGTTTCTAACACAGAGGATTTGGGAGGTGAGATACTAATGTTGGACAAGATGGTTGGACAATAATGTAAAATTATTTTACAAGATTATTGTAGATAGAATAAAATAGGAAAGAATAGAATAGAATAGAAAATCCCTTTATTGTAGCACAATGGGGAAATTCTGGTGTTTACAGCTGCAAAAAGATATAGAAAAAAATGACCACACAAATGTGGACCTTAGAAAAATGTATAGGAATAACATAATAGTGAACACTTAAATGAAAATCAAAATTTTTTTACAGTAATCAGGGATTAAAGTGTTCCGGCCCCAGGCTGGATTTCCGGCTCATAGCGATTGCCCGTGGGTAATCTTGCGTTTTTCAGCCAATGGTAGCAAAGGAGCGCTCTGAAACTAACAGTATTAGCCAATCAGTAGAAGAAAGGGCCGGGTCTTAGGAAAGCGTGTACCTCCTCCTCTCGTTTCTTGCTCAAGTCGCTAGATAGATTGCGGTACAGTGCTGAAATTCTACATGGAAAGTCACCTTGCACCATTTACAGCTCCATTCAACGGAGAGAAGTGTAAAAAGTAAAAAATAATTTAAAAAAAATGAATGAAACTTTGTGTTTGGAGAGGACGATGGAGAGAACGGAATTGTATGGAGTGGGCACAGTGTAGTTCATGAACTCCGGGGAAGATGTCACGACCATACTGTAGATAAAGGTCTCAAAATAAAATGGCACTGGGAATGGCTGGAGTAGACGGGGCAAGATGGCAAGCCATTTAGCAGCTGGTGCAGAAAGTTAGGTGAACCAGGCACTTGCTTCTGCACACTGTGCTCCAGGAAGCTTATTTATGCATCCAGCGGCCAAAATTTGCTACAAAACATTAGTTAGAACCTGGTCATCAAAATGCTGTTTGTATAGTCCCGTACACTACACGTTTGCCGGGAGATATGGCAACAGCTGATGTACCAACGTCAATAACTGACCGTGTATGCGAGTTAAAAATAAGGCTGTGTGCTTACCTTGCTGAACACAGCACTTATCAAAAGAAATGTCGTACATCATTCATGCAATCTCTGATCCCATGATCCCATGCTCCCAAACTCACCTGGCATGGCTTGAAAATACGCACACATGCATATATTCATATATATATATATATATATAAAGTTCAGGCTTAGGATTTTTCTTTTTGCTTTAATCACTGAGTAATGGATATTTGAAAATAGCAGCAACATCAGAGATGTGCAAAATGACCACAGTGTGTTACTTAACTGTCTGCTTATGGAAAGCAAAAAAAACTTCCTTAGCCTTTCAGCAACTAGTCAATGTGCGCTTTAGACTGGTGTGCGCATTTACTCATACGGCATTCCTACTCCATTGGAAGTTTATGCATAACGATGTCTGTACAAGAAACTGGCTCATGGTATTTCTGCATTTGTTTGGATTTAAATTATATAAACCCTTTGTTGCAACTGCACTACCAATAGTGTTAAAGTTACTTAGAATGCTGCATATCAAAAGGAACTGATATAAGGTTAGGGAATTGATCTGAGCCCACAACCTTGTGTCTTATCCTGTTTCAAATGCTCTGATGGAATTTTTATGTTGACTGGTTTCATGAATAAGCTGCCACTGCTGCTACCAGATTACTTATTGCATCACTCAGGACCCTGGAATATTGCCACTGTGGTTATAAAGCAGCACAGCTACCTTAACAAAGGTTTAGAAATGTTCAAAACGGTCTAGAAACTCTAGTATCTCTGAATATGTATAAAGACCCCTTCATGACCTGAGAAAGGCCGCCCATGAACTGAATGATTTCAAATGTCCTGTCTTAGTTTTAAGGCAGGTCTGACTGTGTTAGAATAAATATTAGTGACTCCAGCTTCAACCAAAACCATTTAGATCACATTATTTTGAGCAGCATGAGGTGCCATTTAGTTCTGAGTCTCAGAGAGTTTTCTTTAGACACTTAATTGATATTACTCTGTTGCTAATTTCCCAGCACAAGCCAAATAAAATGCCCAAGTGCTGATTTAATGACATCCTTTTTAATTAAAGATGCTCTGCTTATCCTTTCAGGGTCATTGCTACCATTTAATTTCTTAGAGTGATCTGCATATTTATTGAGGACTGTTATGTGGAATTTGCCAATTGGGAATCATAAAAGCAAGTGTCTCTAACTTTAATGGTAAACTAAATAACACCATAACAACATGCCAGCTGCTAGAGATGTGGAAACATTTAAAGTATTAATAAACAAAAAAGATAAGGTGATAAACTGAAAAAAAAAATTACAGCTACTTCAGAGCTGATTAGAGGTTTTAGTTAAAGCACATTGGATTTCTTTTCCAGATTATCTATATGCAGAAAATGTCAATCATATACAATAGTAAAGTTTGATTCTAGATTTTTTTTTATTTAAACAAGTTCTATCTTTAATTCCTTCTGTTATCTTTTATTTGCAGTGTGTGATTTTTTTTTCTTTTTGATATTTTTAAGAAAACAGGAATTTCAAGTGGCAGCTGTCATGTTTTCAACCTCAAAAACCTTGCTTCTAATTGTTTTGACAAATTCAGAAAAACGAAAAAGCAGAGCAATTATTTTATGTAAGAATGAAAGGTGTAAAAGTTGCCTGTGATACTTTTTATTTCACGCTGCTCATTTAATGAGAATTCTTCAAAATCCAGCTATTTTTTTAATAGCACAGTACCCTCCGCATTTACTATCACCCCAGTCAGATATGTGTAAAAGGCTTCAAATAAAATTCATCTTCATTTTTGCAGAACAGCCAACACTTAATTAAAATATATTTATTCAAAAGAAAACACCTAAAAATGTGTTAATATAATCTTTTCTGTCACATCCTGTTACCCCTAAGTGCTCCCATTATAAAAAAAGTTATTTTAGTTATACAGTAACTTTAAAAGTAAAATTTTTCAAGTTAACCACAGTTCATTGGCAAGTTTGGGCTCTATTCTTGGGTTATAAATATGACCCGGTACAAACACATATTATTTGGGAAAGACATTAAAATAGGGAATTTTATTTATTAGTATAATGACTAAAAAAAAAAAACACAATAAAATAGTGAACCTGTCATGCCAGAACAGTAATTAAAGCATATAAACAACCGAAGCTCTGATGAAAAAGGCTGATTAAAGGGCCCTGGGAATTAATGTAGAGGTTGTAATTATTTTAGGTGATTTAAAGCAGTGATATAAGATCCAGGATAATCTTAATTGTGTCTTTCAGGTGGTCTCTGGGACAGAGAACAGCGTGGAGCTGACCTATCTGAACTCCCTCACAGAGTACCAGGTGGCCGTTTTTGCCATCTACCGCAGCACTGCCAGTGAGGCCCTGAGAGGAAGTGCCACAACATGTAAGCCGCATCGGTTACAATGTCATAAAAAGACTTATGATGTGGCTGGAGTTTCACTTATACGTCCAGAATAAGTTTCCTTTTCCCTCTCATTTTGATAAAGGAGCTCTGTAACCTTTTTTTTTGTCAGTAACCATAAAAAGAAAAGTTTTATGTTGCTTATGACGGCACTGATTACGATTCTGATGTTGAGTATTTTCAGCTGCTCTTGTGGATCGCCAAAGAAAGTCATTACAACTTGCTCAAAAGTCAGATGTTCCTCCAGATGCAAACTGTATTTAAACCCGGCTTCCCCACATAGCAGTCAAAGACTCAAACACTTTAACCATCAGGGAGCTACTGTATAACTTCACAAAACAAAACCATTAAATTTCCTTAATTATTCTAAAAAAGTTTGACTGCCTTTAAATCAATACCTCAGAAAATCTTGAAATAAGTTAATTCATAGACAAATATTTACAAAAAAATCAGTAAGATTTCCAAGTGAAATTTCATAAAACATGATAAAATAGGTGTACATGTGTAAAATATAACCATCCTTTCTGCTTCATTGAATAGAGGGAAGAAAAAAAACCTGTTGCGAGTAGTTAGACATGCACATTTAAGGCTGATTTATACTCAGAAACCAGGTGGTCTGTATATGTGCCACAGAAACTCTGCTGCACCTCTCCATAACTGTAGGTGACCGCACACAGATAGGAGCCCTCTGATTGGTTAAATCTACATCTGCTCTACACTATGTGTATTTTCTATTTGGTACCTTACCGGTTTGTTTTGTTTATATGACCGTCATTGTGGAAAACGACTTGAGAAAATGGACCAGCTGAAGAGCGAGGTGCACGAGAGGCTGGGACCCTTTTTCCACCTGGATCCCCACTCTTTTTCGCCCTCATCATGTCCCTTCGTCGTCGCACAAACTTGCCCCCACTTCCTCACCGCCTCGGCCGAATCTAGACCCACAGCTAGTTTCTAATTGTCCATCTTGCGTTGTGGCGTGGAATAACATAGCGCAGACCACGCTTCAATATTGGGCATAGATCAAAAATATCAGAGACAAGCTCACTGCGACACACTGCTGCTGTCATGATGGGTTTTAAAGATCTCACCCACATGCAGAGATACACTCAGAAAACCAGTTGAAAAGTTTACAAGTTTATTGAGAGGTTGACAAAAAACAGAGAGAGAGATTATATGCAGGGTTATCGCTGTGGGACTTCAGCGGTCTGGTGGACTGGTGGACAGCTGAAGTGACGAGGTGGTGACAGTCCGCAGCTCAAGTACTCCTCCGGTAATGACCCAACGAGCCGCAGGTGTGCAGGGAGGCCCAACGAAAACAGAGCACCGCCTAGTGGTGGGGAGAGGAAAAACACAAAAAAAAAACAACCCTCACAAACTGGAACCCTAACAGCTGCGGGAGTATAACCAGCCCTTTACACCCCACCCCACATTTCTTTGCAAAGCTCTTTTGATATTTTATTTACTCATACAAACATGTCACAATATTTATATTTGTTCCCTATTTTTCGTTTCAGCTTAACTCAAACAAATGCATTTATCCGAGCTGGCCTGGGTAGACGTTTTGCTCAATGTTATTGTACTCTTAGTTCTGATGATAAAGATATAAAAATCTTTATATACACATAATCATTCTCCATTCTCCGGGTTAGAACCAATGCCTCCTTTTTAGCAACAATGATCACAGATATGTTTTTCGTTTTTTTTCCTGACATTTAAAAGTACCGAAAAATCATCAAAAGCTGCAGCCGAAGTTGAGTTTCAAATTTGGAAAATCGCACTGAGTTTGTTAAATGTTTACATTTGCATATCCTATTCATTTGAGCATAGAATCTGTTCTGCATATTGATGAAGGCAGAAAAAAAAATAATAAAATAAAATATTGGACAGGCTGACCTCTGAATACCAAACGCAAATCACTTTGCACCTTCTTTGAAGATCTGCTCTGCACATACAAACACGTTGGCACCTGTTTTAAGACACGCAAATCTTCTAAAGATCAGGCCTTTAGAGTATTTCTAATCACTTTCTGCTTTGCGGATATTGATATTCCTCTCTACTACGGACTGGATTGAAGCAGTCCAATGCAGAGGGAGAGAAAAAGTGAAATGCCTAAGGAAAATTAGGCTAAATTCACTCTTATTTCAAGCCCTTTGAAAACAACCCTAATATTCAATTCAGTTTATTTGTATGGCGCCATTTCACAACACGTCATCTCAACGCACTGTACAGTTTACCAGATCATACAGTCAAAGTGATTCAAAGTTTTCTATCTAAGGAAAAACAGCTGACTGCATCGACTCATTGATTGATTCGAACACAATCCCTCACTCTAAGCACGATTGTAGCGACAGTGGAGAGGAAAAACTCCTCTTTTAACAGGAAGAAACCTCCAGCAGAACCAGGCTCAGTGTGAGCGGCCATCTGGCGAGGCCGACCGGGGTTCAAGGAGACAGATACAAAAGGCAACTGTAAAAGGTGGCCCCATCCAGGAATCACACAGCCAGGCAGATGAGCTCAGAATCAGCTCCCCTGTCAGAAGAAAAAGAAGAAGAAAAATAATCCAGCCAGTCACAGTCAGAGAAACAGGACTACACTGAAAAACAGGCCGATCTCAAAATCTGTAAACAAGGTGTTGATACCAGCAGTACAGCTGATATTTCTCTCCAGGATGGTGTCACAGCTAAACATGAACAGACAAGGTGAAGATATATGAGAAAAAGCAGAGAGAGCATAACGATAGAGATTGAACTAACAGATTCTGCAGAGTGGGAGAATAGAGATAGAATATAAACATGTGTTGCATTTAAACGACTAATGTAGTTTACTAAAATAGATTGGCCTTTGTGTGGAATGTTTTAGATATGTTTTAAACATCTCTGCATAACCTACTGCCAATTAAAGTTTCCCTTTGAGACTCATTTCTGGTTGCATTTTATATTGGAATCTATTTTAAATTAATTTATATGAAAAAAGGAAGGACCTGAAGAAGACATTGAGGTGATATTAGATGGAGATGTTCAATGTTCTGTAGTGTGATGTTGTTCCCTCAAGCTCTGAAAAATCTAGAAATGATGATCTGCATGAAACTGGGTTGTTCAAAATGCCCAGAAAAATAAAAATTTTCATATAACTCATAGCGGAAAGCCTGTATATTTTAACTGTTGTGCAAGCTGTTTATTTTATAAGTTTTGTGTACCTTCAAACTGGTAACTGGCCACTGCATGGTCTGTGGTTTTAATTTTATGTATTTATTTTTACAGAAGCGACATATAAACTGATCATAACCATAAAAGCTGCTATAAAAATAACTGCCTTATGTGTCGGGCAAAATCATTAAACATTAACTGTGAGCCATAAGGCCACGCATGAGTTTCCTTTTGCATCGAAGGTGTGATTCCATTTCTTCACAGGTAACCTTTACTTAGCTCTAAATATAAAACCTTATCCTGTCACTAAAGCTGGCAGATGTCCACTTTTTCATCCTGTCTTTGTTGATCACTGATGAAGAAACATGAATCCCTTCATGTAGGTCAAAGATAAAATTTGAACAACAATTTGACATTGAACCAAAGTTAATAGGGTTTGAATATTGCAGAGTGGCAATTAAAGGTTTAAGCTGTAAATAAAATGTAATGACTGCATCAAATTTTTGTGGACGTGTTTGCTTAGATCGAAAAGTTATGCAGCTTAAAAACTTGTTTTGTGCCACATGGATGAATGGATAGACAGACAGACAATATGCATTCTAAGTATAATCATATTTATATTTTATGTAATTTCCAAATTATGGAGGCAATAAAGTTTTGTTTTTCTTACAGTTACAATAACAAAAGTAAAAAAAACTAATTTTTTGACTGCAGCTGGTTACAGTAGGTGGGGTTAATATACACAGATACATACATGCAAGCTAAAAGTATGTTAATTACAATCTAACTATAAAAGCAGTGATTGGAGAATTAGAGCAGTCTTTTTATTGGGAAGTAGAGAAGCTAAAAGAGGAGCTCTAGTTAACAAACACACACATAAGCGCATATGTGGAAAAAATATGTAACTACTTTATTTTGTTCTCTCTTTTCTTTTGGTAATAAACAAAATGTGATCTGTTCCGACACGCACAGTATACATTATGAAAATCATTGATTTTTCTATTTGCTGAATTCATCAGTGTATATATTTGTTTTGTGTTGCAGTGGTGCTGCCCACAGTGAACGACCTGGATTTGTTCGATATTACTCCCAGCACCATGAGGGTTCGCTGGAAGATCGCTGCTGGGGCTTCAGGGTACATGATCCTGTATGCTCCCCTGACTGAGCAGGACGCTGCAGATGAGAAGGAGGTAAATAGTGCCTGTGTATTTCAAATAAAAGGAAAAATCAAATTGGAAAGCAAACAAAGTAATGGAAACTACCAGATAAAGGCTGAACTATTTCTGTCTTTGTTTTTCTTTTTTCCACCGCCAGAGAACAACTAAAAATATACAAGGTTTAAGATGTCATAACATTTATTTATCATATGTAACTAAGTAACAATTGCATAGTGTTGACCTATAGCACCCCATGTCAACTACATATAAGCATCAAAGATATTTTATATTTTAAATATAATTGTGGTTTAGTAGTAAAAGCTAAGATGGTGCACAGGTGGACATATCACCTGGTTTAAGAAGTTCCAAAATTTAATTAAACAGTGAAGGAAAAATATACAAAATCAGTGTCTATTTCACTGTTTAACTCTAGATATTAATTAGCTACATGTTTTTCTAAACGATCACCTTGGATATAGGACAAGGCAGACAAAATTCATATTGTTTATATTCACTGTATGAAATCGAATAAAAAAATCGGATGCCACATTTTATTAGTTAACTTGCCAGAAAATAAACCAAAAAGACTGAAACTGTAATTTCACCTCATCCACTGACTGTTTGTTTCTATTAGTACATCATGAAATTACAGATTTTCTGCAGATTTGAGCAATTGTTTAAGGCAGACCGAGCAGAACTCATCCTTTCCTGTTAGATATCATTATTGTTGCCCTGCCTTTCCCCTACAAATAGAAAGCTTTAAAATCCATTCATTGAGGACTTAACATTTGAAAATAATTTTCTTCAGGACCAGGGATGAACATGTCTCTGAGGCTCTAATGTCATAGCCAAAAGAATGTGATTTCAGTCAAGGCCAGTTAAGACTGGAAAAAAAAAAAAGTGGCAAAAATAAAAAAAAAGGGCCATGGCTTTGAGCTTAACCAGCCTGCTTCCATGCCTGACCTTAAAACTGATGTAAATTTCAGCAACAGCATCTGAGCTGTAACTTTCTTTCAGCACAAATTTAGTCTGAAGTTCAGTTTTCTCTTTTAATTCAATTCAATTCATTTTATTTCTATAGCGCCAATTCACGACACGTCATCTCAAGGCACTTTACAGTTCACCAGATCATCCAGTCAAATTGATTCAAAGTTTTCTATC